TTATTATTATTATTATTATTATTATTATTATTGCTGTTGTAGATTGCTAATAATTCCGGAGTTCAGGGCCATCGGCATACCAGTTTTTCCGTTTAGTCAAAGTGGCGATCGTGTGATGTCTGCTGTTGTGCTCCTTGCTTCTGTTGTTGATCCGCATGTAGTTGCCGCTGCTACCAAAGCTCCTATAGGCTTAAAAAAAGCTTACAAAAAGGTTCATTATTTATGTATTATTTGTTCTTGCATAAATTCGGTCTAATAATTAGGAGACTTTGTAAGGACGATTGGCCCTAATTGCTGAAACACATCTCAAAAATGTTGAGAGATCAGTCCAATCAGGGGAAGATAATGAAACTGCCGGCATCGAAACTTGTGACTTTGCAGAAGAAAGTAAAAACTGTGGTTGACTTGTTCTGAGTGAAATTGATGCAGGTAAGGCTTTTTTATATTCATTTAACAGAGACAGTGGTGTCAGAAAGAACAAACGAAACTAGTGGACCTGTGGCAGCTAATGTTCGCCGTGATGACAAGAATGGAAAAGAAGTAAGAGGTGAAAAAGTTCACGCTGCTGCTGCATCAACACTTTCAGCCGCCGCAGTGAAGGCAAAGGTAAGCTCAATTAAATCTCTCTTTCTCAACTTAATTTAAATTTAAAATGTTTTCTGCAGCACTAATCAGCTTTCGGGCAGAGAAAAATGAAATCTTTTATGGTACGATCAGCTGAAACTCAAGTCAAGCAGTTAGAAGTAAGGCTGCGTCATTTTACTGAGCTTGAAGCAGTTTAAGATAAGGAAAAAGAAACGGTATTATATATCATTTCCCAATTTTTTTTTTCTTAAGTGATGTTTCGTCCCGACTCTTTTGTGGATAAAATATCTTGAGCATATGGAGGAACAGGGCCTGGAAGGTAAACATACGGTAGCAAGGTTTTTTCTCCACTACGGAACTTTGGTCTCCTCATGGTAATGTTGTAATCTTTCTTCTTTAATATTTTATACTTGAGACATACAGTGCGGTTTATAGTTCTGTCTTCGCTAGATCATATTCTTCCAGCACCTCCTCCAAAACTTAAAATACCATACCCTTTGCATTCGTCTCAGCAAGTTCAGTTCACTGCACCTCCAGACTTCGTAACTACTTCAAGCCCTTCTCAGTCAGTAATAACCGCCGATAAAAGTTCTCTGGTTTATTCCTATGAAACAGTTTTGTTTTACATAACAGGATGATCCTTCAGCTTTGGTAAAATACTAGCTTTTCTGATAAGCCCCTTATCTTTTGATTGTAGGACTAAAAATGAACACTGACGAGAAGCCACCCAAAAGACTTCCAAAGTCCGCCACATATCTTCTGGCTTTAATTACAAAAACCGCGAAGTCTAACCCTATTTATCCGTCTTCTGCGGCATCACCCACAACCTTCGTTACTTCTCGACAGACGAGTATTTTA